GCACATGTCAGTGCTCTGCTGGGTGACAGAGCCCAACCCTGCCAGCTCTGCTGGGTGACAGAACCCATCTCAGCTCATCCCAGTGTTCTGACCTGGGTGACAGAAACCAACCCAGCTCATCCCAGAGCTGTGACCTGGGTGACAGAGCCCAACCCAGCACATGTCAGAGCTCTGCTGGGTGACAGAGCCCAACCCTGGTGCTCTGCTGGGTGACAGAGCCCAACCCTGGTGCTCTGCTCTCCACCACGTGTGGCTGCATCATCCCCCAGGATAACACAGCCCTGGTGTTCCCAATCTGGGATAAATTGGGGTAAATGGCAGCACCAAGTGGTTCTGGAAGGGTTTTGAGGTGTTTTCCTGCTCCCTAAATCCTGTATGGATTTTCCTGCTCCCTAAATCCTGTATGGATTTTTTAAGGGATTTTCCTGGTCCCTAAATCCTGGTTGGATTTTTTTGATGTGTTTTCCTGGCTCCTAAATCCTGTATGGATTTTTAAGGTGTTTTCCTAAATCCTGTGTGGATTTTTTAAGGTGTTCTCCTGGCCCCTAAATCCTATATGGATATTTAAGGTGTTTTCCTGGTCCCTATATCCTGTATGGATTTTTTAGGATGTTTTCCTGGTCCCTAAATCCTGTATAGATTTTTTTAGGGTGTTTTTGGATTTTTTAAGGTGTTTTCCTGCTCCCTAAATCCTCTATGGATTTTTAAGCTGTTTTCCTGGTTCCTAAATCCTGTATGGATTTTTTAAGGTGTTCTCCTGGTCCCTAAATCCTCTATGGATTTTTAAGCTGTTTTCCTAAATCCTGTATGGATTTTTTAAGGTGTTTTCCTGGTCCCTAAATCCTGTATGTATTTTTTAAAGTGTTTTCCTGGGCCCTAAATCATTTAAGGTGTTTTCCTGCTCCCTAAATCCTGTATGAATTTTTTAAGGTGTTTTCTTGCTCCCTAAATCCATACAGGATTTTTTAAGGTGTTTTCCTCGTCCCTAAATCCTGTATGGATTTTTAAGGTGTTTTCCTGGTCCCCAAATCCCGGATGGATCATCTGGCACAGCACAGAGAGGTTGTGGGACGAGTCTCAAGCACAGCCTCCAGTTTCTTCGAGTGCTCCGCAATTAATTAGGGCAAGCAGGGAGTTGTGCGGTAATTAACAGGGAAAGCACCTCGGGGCTGTGGGTGGCCTTCCCTTGGAGCTTGTTGCTTGTAATTGCAGCAATTTCCCTGCCTGCATCAGTGTCACATCGCCAGCGCGTGCCACGAGGCGGGGATTCTGCACAAGGGCTGCAATGCCCAAAAGGTGCCCAGAAAGGTGCCCGGAAAGGTGCCCGGAAAGGTGCCCAGGAAGGTGCCCAGGAAGGTGCCCAGAAAGGTGCCCGGAAAAGTGCCCAGGAAGGTGCCCAGAAAGGTGCCCAAAAGGTGTCCAGGAAGGTGCCCGGAAAGGTGCCCAGAAAGGTGCCCAGAAAGGTGCCCGGAAAAGTGCCCAGGAAGGTGCCCGGAAAGGTGCCCAGAAAGGTGCCCGGAAAAGTGCCCAGGAAGGTGCCCAGAAAGGTGCCCAAAAGGTGCCCAGAAAGGTGCCCAGAAAGGTGCCCGGAAAAGTGCCCAGGAAGGTGCCCAGAAAGGTGCCCGGAAAGGTGCCCAAAAGGTGCCCAGGAAGGTGCCCGGAAAGGTGCCCAGAAAGGTGCCCAGGAAGGTGCCCAGGAAGGTGCCCAGAAAGGTGCCCAGGAAGGTGCCCAGGAAGGTGCCCGGAAAGGTGCCCAGGAAGGTGCCCAGGAAGGTGCCCAGAAAGGTGCCCAGGAAGGTGCCCAGGAAGGTGCCCGGAAAGGTGCCCAGGAAGGTGCCCAGGAAGGTGCCCGGAAAGGTGCCCAGGAAGGTGCCCAAAAGGTGTCCAGGAAGGTGCCTGGAAAGGTGCCCGGAAAGGTGCCCGGAAAGGTGCCGTGCCCTCAGGGCAGCTCGTTTTGCCCAGAGCCCTGTGGGAGCTGCCAGCTCTGATGCTGTCCCAGCGCTCCCTGAGCGCTCCGCACACCGTTCCCGGCCGGATTTAGGGCGGGCTGAGTGTGCTGGGCACTAATGGGATTGGGATAAAAGGATTGGGGACGAGCTGCCAGGGCAGGCGGGGGCCCGGGGGCAGCACCCAGCACCAGCCTGGCTCTGCTCCCTTGGCTTGGGAGATTGGGATTAATGTTTGAATATCTTGGGATTAAATGTTTGAGTATCGAACTCACCCAGAAGCATCCCCTGGACCCCCTTTGCTAGGGGAAAAAAAATAGTAAAATATAGAAAAATATAGAAAAATATCTAATATTATGTGTATCCAGTGTTATTCACTATCCCAGAAATGGTAAAAAAATAGGGTAAAATATAGTGTATATCTAATATATTATATGTATATAATGTATATATATATATATATGTGTATATGTGTGTGTGTATATATATATATACAGTATATATATATACATATATATATATAGACAATATATATATGCATATTATGTATATCCAGTGTTATTCACTATCCCAGAAATGGTAAAAAAATAGGGTAAAATATAGTGTATATCTAATATATTATATGTATATAATGTATATATATATGTGTGTATATGTGTGTGTATATATATACACACAGTATATATATATATATATATATATATACACACACACATATATATACACAATATATATATGTATATTATGTATATCCAGTGTTACTCACTATGCCAGAAATGGTAAAAAAAAAATAGGGAAAAATATAATGTATATCTAATATATTATATGTATATTATGTATATATATATGTGTATATATATAGACACTCTATATATATATATATATATATATATACACACAACATATATGTGTATATTATGTATATCCAGTGTTACTCACTATGCCAGAAATGGTAAAAAAATAGGGAAACATATAGTGTGTATCTAATTTATTATATGTATATTATGTATATATATGTATATATATACACAGTATATATACAGTATATATACAGTATATATATACACATACATATATATGTATATACATCATATATATATACCCACATGTGTGTATATATATATTACACAGTATATATATATACAATATATATATGTATATTATGCATATCCAGTGTTATTCACTATCCCAGAAATGGCAAAAAAATAGGGAAAAATATAGTGCATATATAATATATGTATATTATGTATATATATGTATATATATACACAGTATATATACAGTATATATATACACATATATATATGTATATACATGTGTGTATATATATACAGTTTATGTATATATATATATATACAATATATATATGTATATTATGTATATACAGTGTTACTATCCCAGAAATGGTAAAAAAATAGGGAAAAATATAGTGTATATCTAATATATTATATGTATATTATGTATATATATGTATATATATACAATATATATATGTATATTATTTGTATCCAGTGTTATTCACTATGCCAGAAATGGTAAAAAATAGGGAAAAATATAGTGTATATCTAATGTATTATATGTATATTATGTATATATATGTATATATATATACACAGTATATATACAGTATATATATATATGTGTGTATATATATATGTGTGTCTATATATACAGTATATATATATACACAATATATATATGTATATTATGTATATCCAGTGTTACTATACCACAAATGTTAAAAAAATAGGGAAAAATATTGTGTATATCTAATATATTATATGTATATTATGTGTATATATATGTATATATAGACTATATATATATATATATATATATATATATATATATACAATCTATATGTGTATATTATGTATATCCAGGGTTATTCACCATCACGGAACATTTTTTCGTGTTTTTATTTCAGAGGAAGAAGTTTAAGCTTTGTTAATTGAACAGTTTGGGACTAAGAGAATCTATAGGAGGTGCTGAATTAATATTTTGCCTGGTTTAATTCCCACTGTATCTTATCCACAGTGATGAGTGTTCTGCTGGAAAATATTTGTGGAAATTCTGTTTGGTGTAGTCAGAAATGGTAAAATATTTTCGGCCTGGTGTGTCCTTGTTGAATTTATGCATCAACAAATTTAGAGCAGGAATGAACTGGCAGATATCAGTCCTAGAAAATCCCAGCCTGAATCATTGATATCAGTCCTAGAAAATCCCAGCCTAAATCATTGATATCAGTCCTAGAGAGTCTCAGCCTGAATCATTGATATCAGTCCTAGAAAATCCCAGCCTAAATCATTGATATCAGTCCTAGAGAGTCTCAGCCTGAATCATTGATATCAGTCCTGGAAAATCCCAGCCTAAGTCATTGATGTGGGTAAGACATGGCAGGAATGGAGAGCTGAGCAAAGGCCGTGTTTGGAATAATTTAAATTTAATTTTGTGTTTACTCTCATTAAAAAAAACAGGGTTGATACCTGGAAAAGAAAGATTTGAAGGGAGATTGGGAGACTGAAAAGTGAGGGGGAACTGAGTTGTTTTGGCTCTGGCATGTTCCTGGAGCTGTGCAGCTCCTGGTTCTGAGGTGGGAGCAGCAGGGAGGGAGGACGTGAGGGGCTGCTTTGATCCCTACCTGGCTCTACCTGAGCTCTTTCTCACCAAGCACCACAAGCCAGAGTGGGTGAACATGGAACAACTTGGAAACATTTTTTGTTGTTTTTTTTTTTTGGGGGGGGTAGTGACTCACTGCAACTTACCCAAAGTGACCTGATTTAGTTAAATGAGGCTAAATATAACCCATGTGAAAAGTACTGACATGTGGGAGGAGACGCCAGAGTTGGCACTCAGCCCCTCACTTCTGCAGGGAACATCTTTCACGACTGGTGACTAATAATTTTTTACTCTTGCTGCCTTTGGAAATAACAATCCCTGCTTCGTTTTTTTTGGGTTTTTTTTTTTTTTTCTCTCCTTCACCCCCTTGTAGGGGAGAGAAACGAGGGAAATGCTGCGGGCTTAACGTTGCTTTGTGAATTGCAGCTCTCTGCTATGGACAGTGCCATCACCCTGTGGCAGTTCCTCCTCCAGCTGCTGCAAGAGCCCCAGAACAAGCACATCATCTGCTGGACCTCCAGCGACGGGGAGTTCAAGCTGCTGCAGGCAGAGGAGGTGGCCAGGCTCTGGGGGATCCGCAAGAACAAGCCCAGCATGAACTATGACAAACTCAGCCGGGCGCTGCGCTACTACTACGTGAAGGTAGGCAGGAAATCCTGCTCCAATCCTTATCCCTCCGAGCTAAGGAGCTTTGTTCCCTCCTCCTCCTCCTCCTCCTCCTCCTGGCTGTGCCAGGTTGAAGGAAGTTGAGCTGCTTTGTTTAAAGGGGTCGGGTTGGGTTTGAATTTCGTTTGTCGCCGCGCTGTTTCCTCCTCGCTGGTTTGTGTTGGGAGGTTCTGGTGGCTTTGCTCATCCAAGTTTGCCTTTGGATCCTCATCCCCCTTCTAAAAATATACACTCAGCAAGGGTTAAAATGCAGGTAAAGCACAGGGACATGTACACACACCCAGCAAGGGTTAAAATGCAGGTAAAGCACAGGGAGAGTTTTGAGGGTTAAAATGCAGGTAAAGCACAGGGAGATTTACACACACCCTGTAAGGGTTAAAATGCAGCTAAAGCACAGGGAGAGTTTTAAGGGTTAAAATCCGGGTGAAGCACAGGGAGACTTTTGAGGGCTGAAATGCAGGTGAAGCACAGGGAGAGTTTTAAGGATTGAAACCCAGGTAAAGCACAGGGAGAGTTTTGAGGGTTAAAATCCCAGTAAAGCTCAGGGAGAGTTTTGAGGGTTAAAATCCCAGTAAAGCTCAGGGAGAGTTTTGAGGGTTAAAATGCAGGTAAAGCACAGGGAGAGTTTTAAGGGTTAAAATCCCAGTAAAGAACAGGGAGGGTTTTAAGGGTTAAAATCCAGGTAAAGCACAATGGAGACTTTTAAGGGTTAAAATGCAGGTAAAGCACAGGGAGAGTTTTAAGGGTTAAAATCCCAGTAAAGAACAGGGAGGGTTTTAAGGGTTAAAATCCTGCTAAAGCATAGGGAGATTTACACACACCTGGCAAGGGTTAAAATGCAGGCAAAGCACAGGGAGAATTTTAAGGATTGAAACCCAGGTAAAGCACAGGGAGAGTTTTAAGGATTAAAATCCAGGTAAAGCACAATGGAGACTTTTAAGGGTTAAAATGCAGGTAAAGCACAGGGAGAGTTTTAAGGGTTAAAATCCGGGTAAAGCTCAGGGAGAGTTTTAAGGGTTAAAATGCAGGTAAAGCACAGGGAGAGTTTTGCTGCTTTGTTTTGGGAGGTTCTGGTGGCTTTGCTCATCCAAATTTGCCTTTGGATCCTCATCCACCTTCCAAAAATCTACAGCCCTGCAAGGGTTAAATTGCAGGTGAAAGCACAGGGAGAGTTTTGAGGTTTAAAATCCCAGTAAAGCACAGGGAGAGTTTTCATTTCACAGGAAGAAGTTTAAGCTGCGTTCATTAAACAGAGAATCTATAGGAGATCCTGAATTTTAATTAATTAATATTTTGCCTGGTTTAATTCCCAGTGTATCTTATCCACAGTGAGGAGCGTTCTGCTGAAAAATATTTGTGGAAATTCTGTTTGGTGTAGTCAGAAATGGTTAAAAAAAAATAGGGAAAAATATACTGTATACCCAGTGTTATTCACTATCCCAGAGCATTTTTCCTGTTTTTATTTCACAGGAAAAAGTTTAAACTGCATTAATTAAACATTTCTGGACTAAGAGAATCTATAGGAGATACTGAATTAATATTTTGCCTGGTTTAATTCCCACTGTATCTTATCCAGAATGATGAGTGTTCTGCTGGAAAATATTTGTGGAAGTTCTGTTTGGTGTAGTAAGAAATGGTTAAAAATATAGGGAAAAATATATCAAAAAGGTAAAATATAAAAATATATTAAAAAAAGAAAAATATTAAAAAATGGTAAAAAATTAGGGAAAAATATAGTTTATATAATATAGTGTATATAGGGAGAGGATGATGATGGAGAGCCTGAGCATTGCGCCACTTCCAGATCTTTTTGCAGCTTTCTCTTTACATTTCTTCCTTTCAAAATAAACATTTTCCATCCCCTAAATATTTTTATTTCCTCTGTGTATTTCCACCTCCCCTTTGCCCGCTGTTTTCAGCCCAGCAGAGTAAGGAGCTTTTGTTTATCCAACATCCTGGAGCTCCTCACCTCTGTTTCCCTTCATGCGCGTGTGAGTGGAGCAGATAAAAATAACCCGAGTTTCTGAGGAGCCTGGAGCAGGTGGGAGGAGGGCGCTGCTGCTCATCCCTGGGTGCCACAAATCTGCTTTTGGCGCTGGGAGATCTCAGCAGCGATCGGGGAGTGATAAATCAGGATAATTCCGAGTGCCAGGGAGTGATAAATAAGGATGATTCCGAGTGCAGAGTGTGTGTGGCATTTCGCTGAGGAGCAAAACAAGTTTGACAGATGCTGCTCTGTGGTGTTGAAGTGACTGATTCGCCTGCGTTCTGCTGACGAGTTCAGCTGCTTGTTTTCCTTTATTATCATCTTGTTAAGGATAAAGGGGGTTTGGTTTGAAGTGCAAGCTCTCAGTTCTGCAGTCCTGGAAAAAACCTTTAGCAAGTTCTGTTAAATTATCCGTAGTGTTCCCAGCTAAGTGATCCTTGCTGGGAGTAAAGAGCATTTTTTAAAATTAATCAGGATTTCTTGGCATTTTTTTAAGCTGTTTTTAGTATGTTTAATGTCAGGTTAAGCTCACCTGTTGCAGTGTTTTGTCTGCCAGCTCCGAGAACAGAACTGGAACACTCAGGGTGTTTTTAAAACAGGAAAAGAAGAAACATTCTTTTTTTTTAATTTTTTTATTTTTTTTTGGCTGAAAGATTACAGACTTCAATTCCTCTGCCTATTTTAGGCAGCGTTTGCAGGAAGAAAATTAATCTGGAGAAAAGATCTAAATATACTTTTGTCTTCTCCTCCACCAGAACATCATCAAGAAGGTGAACGGGAAGAAATTTGTGTACAAATTCGTGTCCTACCCCGAGATCCTGAACATGGACCCCTTGTGGTGGGCAGGATGGAGGGGGACCCCGAGATGCCCGGCTTTGGGAGGCCACCAGCACCCCCAAGGAGGCGGAGAGCTGCGGCAAGGAGAAATCCCAATCCTGCGCGAAGTCCTCGAGCCGCAACGACTACATCCACTCAGGCCTGTACTCCTCCTTCACCCTCAACTCCCTCAACTCCTCCGGCGTGAAGCTCTTCAGGTCCATCAAGATCGAGAACCCGGCCGAGAAGCTGGCGGAGAAGAAACCTCAGGACGCCGCCCCTTCCGTCATCAGTTTGTCACCGTGCCCTCCAAGAAGCCGCCCTCCGCCCCGCCGGTGTCCGCCGCCTCAGCCGCGGCCCTCAGCTCCGCGGCCCCCCGCCGCCCCCGCCGCCGCCTCTCCTCGCTGCCGCTGGGCTCCGAGGACACCCTGCACGCCCTGGAGACTCTGGTGCTGCCCAAGCTGAGCGTCCCCGAGGCTCCTCCGGCCCCTCTGCCCAACCTGAGCGCCAGCTACGCCCCCACGCCCCCCGTTGCCTCAGTTTCCCCCGCGCTCCAGGTGCCCCCCACGCCGCCCTCGCCGCCGCTGAGCTCCAACCCCGAGCTGGACGTGGACACGGACATGGAGTCCGTGAGCTCGCAGCAGCTGGAGCAGCCCCAGAGCCTGCAGCCGCCGTCCCCGGAGCCCGGGGAGCAGCAGGACTCGGCCGGGCTGGAGAAGGAGATCGCCAACCACCTCTCCAGAGCCAAGAAACCCAAAGGGCTGGAGCTGGCCCCCACCCTGGTCATCACCGGCAGCGACCCCAGCCCCCTGGGCATCCTCAGCCCTTCCCTCCCCACTGCCTCCCTGACTCCTGCACTTTTCTCTCAGGTGATCACATCTCCCTCAATTCCCTTCCTGGTTTCTTTTATTTTTTATTTTTTTTGTTTAAACTAACAATAGTGATGATGTTATGCTTGAAAACAGCCAGTGGGAAATGAATGGTGCAAGTGGGAAATGAATGGTGCAAGTGGGAAATGAATAGTGCAAGTGGGAAATGAATAGTGCAAGTGGGAAATGAATTGTGCAAGTGGGAAATGAATGGTGCAAGTGGGAAATGAATGGTGCCAGTGGGAAATGAATAGTGCAAGTGGGAAATGAATAGTGCAAGTGGGAAATAATCAGTGCAAGTGGGAAATGAATAGTGCAAGTGGGAAATGAATGGTGCAAGTGGGAAATGAATAGTGCAAGTGGGAAATGAATGGTGCCAGTGGGAAATGAATGGTGCCAGTGGGAAATGAATAGTGCAAGTGGGAAATGATCAGTGCAAGTGGGAAATAATCAGTGCAAGTGGGAAATAATCAGTGCAAGTGGGAAATGAACGGTTCATTGTAGGCAGAGGTTTGAAAGTCAGGGTGTCGCTCCCTGCTTGGTTTTTTTTTTTGGTTGTTTTTTTTTGTTTAGTCAAACAGAAATTTGGTGTTAATTCACCTCAAAGTGTGCCCAGGTGCTGGGCATGTGGAGGCAAAACCCAAAGCAGCTCCAGCAGGAATTTGCAAGGGGATACTGAATTATTCCTAAATCTTGAATTATTCCTGAATCCTGAATTATTCCTGAATCCTGAATTACTCCTGAATCCTGAATCTTGAATTATTCCTAAATCCCAAATTACTCCTGAATCCTGAATCTTGAATTATTCCTGAACCCTGAATTACTCCTGAATCCTGAATTATTCCTGAATCCTGAATTATTCCTGGATCCTGAATCCTGAATTATTCCTGGATCCTGGATCCTGAATTATTCCTGAATACTGAATTATTCCTGAATTATTCCTGAATCCTGAATTATTCCTGGATCCTGAAACCTGAATTACTCCTAAATCCCAAATTATTCCTGAATCCTGGCCCTGAAAATCCATCCCGCCCTGTCTGCTGAGCTTTTCCCCCTCAGTCAGCAGCATTTGGTTAAAGGCAGAGTCTGGTGAGCGAGCAGCAATGGGAGCAGAGGAAGGCTGGAATTTCATAGGGAAGGTTTGGAATTCCATAGGGAAATGCTGGCATTCCATGGGGAAAGGCTGGAATTTCCCTGCTGGGATTCCATGGGAAAAGTTGGAATTTCCCTGCTCTGATTCCAGGGGAGAGGCTGGAATTTCCCTGATGGAATTCTGTGGGAAAGGCTGGAATTCCACATGAAAAGCTGGAATTCCATAGGGAAGCTGGAATTCTGTGGGGAAAGGCTGGATTTCTAGGAAAAGGCTGGAATTTCCATGCTGGGATTCCAGGCTGGAATTCCACAGGAAGGACTGGATTTCCCCTGCTGGAATTCCATGGGAAAGGCTGGAATTTCCATGCTGGAATTCCATGGGAAAGGGCTAGAGTTCTGTGGGAAAGGCTGGAATTCACTGGGAAAATCTGGAATTTCCCTGCTGGAATTCCTTGGAGAAAGGCCTGGAATTCCACATGAAAAGCTGGAATTCTGTGGGGAAAGGTTGTAATTCTGTGCGGAAAGGCTGGAATTTCCATGCTGGAATTACATGGGAAAGGGCTGTAATTGTGTGGGAAGGGCTGGAATTCCACGTGAAAAGCTGGAATTCCATGGGGAGAGGCTGGAATTCCCAGCTGAAATTCCAGGGGAAAGGCTGGAATTCAGTGGGAAAATCTGGAATTTCCCTGCTGGAATTCCAGGGGAAAGGCTGGAATTCTGTGGGGAAAGGCTGGAATTTCCATGCTGGAATTCCATGGGAAAGGCTAGAGTTCTGTGGGGAAGGCCTAGAATTCCACGTGAAAAGCTGGAATTCAGTGGGAAAAGCTTGAATTTTCCTGCTGGAATTCTGTGGGAAAAGCTGGATTTCTAGGGAAAAGGCTGGAATTTCCCTGGTGGAATACCATGGGAAAGGCTGTAATTCTGTGGGGAAAGGCTGGAATTTCCGTGCTGGAATTCAGTGGGAAAGGCTGGAATTTCTGTGCTGGAATTTCCGTGCTGGAATTCAGTGGGAAAGGCTGGAATTCAGTGGGAAAATCTGGAATTTCCCTGCTGAAATTCCAGGGGAAAGGCTGGAATTCTGTGGGAAGGGCTGGAATTCAGTGGGAAAGGCTGGAATTCCAGGGAAAAGGCTGGAGTTTCCCTGGTGGAATTCCAGGCTGGAATTCCACAGGAAGGACTGGATTTCCCCTGCTGGAATTCCATGGTTGTAATTCTGTGGGAACGGGCTAGGGTTCTGTGGGGAAAGGCTGGAATTCCACATGAAAAGCTGGAATTCTGTGGGGAAAACCTGGAATTCTGTGGGGAAAACCTGGAATTTCCCTGCTGGAATTCTGTGGGAAAGGCTGGAATTCTGTGGGGAAAACCTGGAATTTCCCTGCTGAAATTCCAGGCTGGAATTCCACAGGAAGGACTGAATTTCCCCTGCTGGAATTCCAGGGGAAAGGCTGGAATTTCCATGCTGGAATTCCATGGGAAAGGGCTAGAGTTCTGTGGGAAGGGCTAGAATTCCATGTGAAAAGCTGGAATTCCATGGGGAGAGGCTGGAATTTCCCAGCTGAAATTCCAGGGGAAAGGCTGGAATTCTGTGGGGAAAACCTGGAATTTCCCTGAAATCTGGAATTTCCCTGCCGGAATTCCATGGGGAAGGGCTGTAATTCTGTGGGGGAGGGGCTAGAATTCCACGTGTAAAAGCCGGAATTCTGGATTTCCACGGAAAAGCTGGAATTCCCGTGAGAGAGCCTCTGAGAGCCGTTCTCCGTTTGCAGACCCCCATCCTGCTGACCCCCAGCCCGCTGCTCTCCAGCATCCACTTCTGGAGCACCCTGAGCCCCGTGGCGCCGCTGAGCCCCGCGCGCCTGCAGGGCGCCAACACCCTCTTCCAGGTGAGTGCGTCCCAGGGATTCCCCTCTGCCAGGTGAGTGCGTCCCAGGGATTCCCCTCTTCCAGGTGAGTGCGTCCCGGGGATTCCCCTCTTCCAGGTGAGTGCGTCCCGGGGATTCCCCTCTGCCAGGTGAGTGCGTCCCAGGGATTCCCCTCTTCCAGGTGAGTGCGTCCCGGGGATTCCCCTCTTCCAGGTGAGTGCGTCCCAGGGATTCCCCTCTGCCAGGTGAGTGCGTCCCAGGGATTCCCCTCTTCCAGGTGAGTGCGTCCCGGGGATTCCCCTCTTCCAGGTGAGTGCGTCCCGGGGATTCCCCTCTTCCAGGTGAGTGCGTCCCGGGGATTCCCCTCTGCCAGGTGAGTGCGTCCCAGGGATTCCCCTCTTCCAGGTGAGTGCGTCCCGGGGATTCCCCTCTTCCAGGTGAGTGCCCCAGGGATTCCCCTCTTCCAGGTGAGTGCGTCCCGGGGATTCCCCTCTTCCAGGTGAGTGCGTCCCAGGGATTCCCCTCTTCCAGGTGAGTGCGTCCCAGGGATTCCCCTCTGCCAGGTGAGTGCGTCCCGGGGATTCCCCTCTTCCAGGTGAGTGCGTCCCAGGGATTCCCCTCTTCCAGGTGAGTGCGTCCCGGGGATTCCCCTCTTCCAGGTGAGTGCGTCCCGGGGATTCCCCTCTTCCAGGTGAGTGCGTCCCGGGGATTCCCCTCTGCCAGGTGAGTGCGTCCCGGGGATTCCCCTCTTCCAGGTGAGTGCGTCCCAGGGATTCCCCTCTTCCAGGTGAGTGCGTCCCGGGGATTCCCCTCTTCCAGGTGAGTGCGTCCCAGGGATTCCCCTCTTCCAGGTGAGTGCGTCCCAGGGATTCCCCTCTTCCAGGTGAGTGCGTCCCGGGGATTCCCCTCTTCCAGGTGAGTGCGTCCCGGGGATTCCCCTCTTCCAGGTGAGTGCGTCCCGGGGATTCCCCTCTTCCAGGTGAGTGCGTCCCGGGGATTCCCCTCTTCCAGGTGAGTGCGTCCCGGGGATTCCCCTCTGCCAGGTGAGTGCGTCCCGGGGATTCCCCTCTTCCAGGTGAGTGCGTCCCAGGGATTCCCCTCTGCCAGGTGAGTGCGTCCCAGGGATTCCCCTCTGCCAGGTGGGTCCCGTTCCCGTTCCCTGGGATTCCCAGGGATTCCCATTGTTCATGGAGTCCCATTCCCTGGGATTCCCAGGGATTCCTATTGTTCATGGAGTCCCATTCCCTGGGATTCCCATTGTCCAGGGATTCCCATTGTTCATGGAGTCCCATTCCCTGGGATTCCCAGGGATTCCCATTGTTCATGGAGTCCCATTCCCTGGGATTCCCATTGTCCAGGGATTCCCATTGTTCATGGAGCCCCATTCCCAGAGATTCCCTTTCCGAGGGATTCCCATTCTCCAGGGATTCCCCTTTTCCCAGGGATTCCCATTTCACCAGGTAGTCCCATTTTTCCTAAGGATTCCATTTTTCCTAAGGATTCCATTTTTCCCAAGGATTCCTATTCCCAGGCATTCCCATTTTCTAGGCGTTCCCATTCTCCCATGGATTCCCATTTTCTGGGGATTCCATTTTTCCCGGGTTCCCATGTCCCAAGGATTCCCATTCCCTGGGATTCCCATTTTCCAGAGTTTCCCTTTTCCAGGGATTCCCATTTCCCCAGAGATTCCCATTCTCCCAGGGATTCCCATTTTCTGGGGATTCCATTTTTCCCAAGGGTTCCCATGTCCCAGGGATTCCCATTCCCAGGGATTCCCATTCCCCAGAGATTCCCAGTCCCAGGGATTCCCATTTTCCAGGGATTCCCATTTTCAAGGTATCCCATGTTCCATAGATTCCCCTTTTCCAGGGATTCCCATTCTCCATGGATTCCCATTTTCTGGGGATTCCATTTTTCCCAAGGGTTCCCATTCCCAGGGATTCCCATTTCCCAGGGATTCCCATTTCCCAGGGATTCCCATTGTCCAGGGATTCCATTTTTTCTCAGGAATTCCATTTTTCCCAGGGATTCCCCTTCTTCAGGGACTCTCCTTTCCCAGGGATTCCCATTCCCCAGGGAATGCCATTGTCCAGGGGTTCCCTTTTTCCCAGGGATTCCCATTTCTCCAGGGATTCCCATTTCACCAGGTAGTCCCATTTTTCCTAAGGATTCCATTTTTCCTAAGGATTCCATTTTTCCCAAGGATTCCTATTCCCAGGCATTCCCATTTTCTAGGCGTTCCCATTCTCCCATGGATTCCCATTTTCTGGGGATTCCATTTTTCCCATGGATTCCCATGTCCCAGGGATTCCCATTCCCAGGGATTCCCATTTTCCAGAGTTTCCCTTTTCCAGGGATTCCCATTTCCCCAGAGATTCCCATTCTCCCAGGGATTCCCATTTTCTGGGGATTCCATTTTTCCCAAGGGTTCCCATGTCCCAGGGATTCCCATTCCCAGGGATTCCCATTCCCCAGAGATTCCCAGTCCCAGGGATTCCCATTTTCCAGGGATTCCCATTTTCAAGGTATCCCATGTTCCATAGATTCCCCTTTTCCAGGGATTCCCATTCTCCATGGATTCCCATTTTCTGGGGATTCCATTTTTCCCAAGGGTTCCCATTCCCAGGGATTCCCATTTCCCAGGGATTCCCATTGTCCAGGGATTCCCATTGTCCAGGGATTCCATTTTTTCCCAGGAATTCCATTTTTCCCTTCTTCAGGGACTCTCCTTTTCCAGGGATTCCCATTTCCCCAGAGATTCCCATTCTCCCATGGATTCCCATTTTCTGGGGATTCCATTTTTCCCAAGGGTTCCCGTGTCCCAGGGATTCCCATTCCCAGGGATTCCCATTCCCCAGAGATTCCCAGTCCCAGGGATTCCCATTTTCCAGAGACTCCCATTAACTGAGGGGTGATTTGAACCCTTGTTTTCCTCAGAACCTGGATTAAAATCAAACTTTGTGCAGCAGAATTGAACACTTGCAGTGATTTTTAGGGGCAGCGGTTTTTTCCCCCCCGTGGGATTTGCGGGTACAAAGGCACGACTCCTCAGGCAGTTTCAATAATTTTGCTTTATTTAACGGCGCCAAATAAAAACAAAGCGCTTGGATCAATGTTATCCTCGTGCTTTATTCCGTAAATAAACTCCATTATTCCGTAAATAAATGCACTTTAATGAGGATATGGCTCATTGCGACGCTGCTTGGCATTAAAATTCAATGAAAAGTGAGAATCGTCGGAATCTGGGGTGGTTTTGCTTTGTTTTGTTGTTACATTTGGGGGTTTTTTTTTGCCCTTTTTTTCTGCACAAATATGGAAAAACATTGAATTAAATTTTTTTTTTTTTTTTGCTGATTCTCGTTTTGTTTCTCAGTTTCCATCCGTGCTGAACAGTCACGGCCCCTTTACCCTGTCTGGACTGGACGGCCCCTCCACGCCCGGCCCCTTTTCGCCAGACCTGCAGAAGACATAGCACAAGGAATTCCTCCCCGCGCCGGGGCACGGCAAGGCAAGGACGGCACATTTCTATTTTTAAAAAAACGAGCAGTTTGCAATTCCACTGAGCTTCTCAGCGCTTGGAGTTGGAGCTGTTGCCGTTCCCGAATCCAAAAAAAAACCCCCCCAAAAAAAAAAACGACAAAAAAAAAAGCGCCTTTTTCTGTGCAAAAATTCAAAAATTCCCCATTTTTTTTGGAAGAACCCAGGTTGGGAATGTATATGCAAACGCCTTAATAGGAGCTGCAGCTCCGATTTTTTCCTCCTCCTCACTCTGGGAGTTTTTTTCCCTGCATCCAAAAAGGAATTTTGGGTGGTGTTGCAGCGACTGACCCTGCACGAGCAGCGCCAGAGGAGGTTTGTCTCCGTGACTTTTGGAAAACAAACAAAAAACAAACAGCAAACAAACAAAACCCTCTGTTCTTCTGCTCCCCGTGCTCAGCAAGGAGAACCCTGAATCCTGATGGAAGCTGGAATTCCAGGAAAATTTGGGAATATTGGGGTTTGTGCGCTGCCAGCTCTGCCCTGAGGGCGCCACAACTTGCGCAGCAACAAAAGCACCGCAGCTTTTCTGCTGCCCTTTGTCTTTATTTCTATTTTATTTCTTTTTTTTTTTTTTTTTTTTCCTTCTTCGAGGATTTATTCCAGATTTACATCCAGGACAATTCTGTGGAGCCCCCCTGGGAGAAGATTTGGGGCTGCATTTTGGGCGTTTCCCTTCCCGTGAGGGGTGGGATGAGCTCCTTTCGCTTCTCACAGAACTTTCAGTGCTGGAGTCCAAACATTTCTCGCGCCGCAGCCTGCGAGCTCCGCGCTGGATCAGCGGGATGGGAGGCTTTCCTGCACTTTTGGGGGGTTTCCCTGCAGTTTTGGGGTTTTCTTGCAGTTTTGGGAGGGTTTTCCTGCAATTTTGGGAGGTTTTTCCTGAGTTTTGGGAGGTTTTTCTTGCAGTTTTGAGGGGATTTCCTGCAGTTTTGGGAGGTTTTTCCTGAGTTTTGGGGGGTTTTCCTGCAGTTTTGGGATTTTCCTGCAGTTTTAGGAGGTTTTTCCGGAGTTTTGGGAGGTTTTTCCTGCAGTTCTGGGAGGTTTTTCTTGCAGTTTTGGGAGGTTTTCCTGCAGTTTTGAGGGGATTTCCTGCAGTTCTGGGGGGTTTTCCTGCAATTTTGGGAGGTTTTTCTTGCAATTTTGGGAGGTTTTTCCTGCAGTTCTGGGAGGTTTTTCTTGCAGTTTTGGGAGGTTTTCCTGCAGTTCTGGGAGGTTTTCCTGCAGTTTTGAGGGGATTTCCTGCAGTTTTGGGAGGTTTTCTTGCAGTTTTGGGGGGTTTTCCTGCAGTTTTGGGGATTTCCTGCAGTTTTGGGAGGTTTTTCCTGAGTTTTGGGGGGTTTTTCTTGCAGTTTTGGGGGGTTTTTCTTGCAGTTTTGGGAGGTTTTTCCTGAGTTTTGGGAGGTTTTCCTGCAGTTTTGGGGGGTTTTTCCTGAGTTTTGGGAGGTTTTCTTGCAGTTTTGGGAGATTTTCCTGCAGTTTTGGGAGGTTTTTTCTGCAGTTTTGGGAGGTTTTCTTGCAGTTTTGGGGGGTTTTTCTTGCAGTTTTGGGAGGTTTTCCTGCAGTTTTGGGTGGTTTTCCTGCAGTTTTGGGGTTTTCCTGCAGTTCTGGGAGGTTTTTCCTGAGTTTTGGGAGGTTTTCCTGCAGTTTTGAGGGATTTCTCTTGTATTTTGGGGAATTTCCCCTTGGTTTTGGGGACTTTTCCTTGGTTTTGGGGAATTTTCCTTGGTTTTGGGGAATTTTCCTTGGTTTTGGGGACTTTTCCTTGGTTTTGGGGACTTTTCCTTGGTTTTGGGGGTTTTCCCCTTGGTTTTAGGGAATTTTCCCTGGATTTTAGGGGAGGTTGCTGCCTGACTGCAATTCCAGAGCCCAGCATTAATATTGCTCTTCTTTCCCACACAGTTCTGGAAAATTTTCCTGCTTTTCCCCACATGGAAAACTCCTCTTTTCCCAGCTTTTACCCCAAGTTTTGCGGTGGAACTGTTGATTTTGGGGTTGTTTTTTAGCCCCAAACCGTTTAACCTCGTGGTAAATCAGTTTTATCTCCTTGCTGTGCTGGGTTCCTGGGGCAGGATTGTTTTCCAGAGCCAGTGGAGGTGAGATGGAATTTAAAAGTGGATTTTCTCCACCTCAGGAGGCCTTTGAAGAAACCTGAGGGGTGGGAAATGAGAATTGCTGCTCTCTCATCCCCTCATGAGGGATTGTTGGGCTCTGGGTTTTCCTGCAGTTTTGGGAGGTTTTTCCTGCAGTTTTGAGGGATTTCTCTTGGGTTTTGGGGGACTTTCCTTGGTTTTGGGGGAATTTTCCCTGGATTTTGGGGGATTTTCCCTGGATTTTGGGGAATTTTCCCTGGATTTTGGGGAATTTTCCCTGGATTTTGGGGAATTCTCCTTGGTTTTGGGGAATTCTCCTTGGTTTTGGGGGATTCTCCTTGGTTTTGGGGAATTTCCCCTTGGTTTTGGGGGATTTTCCCTGGATTTTGGGGAATTTTCCCTGGATTTTGGGGAATTTCCCTGGATTTTGGGGAATTTTCCCTGGATTTTGGGGAATTCTCCTTGGTTTTGGGGAATTCTCCTTGGTTTTGGGGAATTTCCCTGGGTTTTGGGGAATTTTCCCTGGATTTGGGGGAATTCTCCTTGGTTTTGGGGGATTCTCCTTGGTTTTGGGGAATTTCCCTGGGTTTTGGGGAATTCTCCTTGGTTTTGGGGGATTCTCTTTGGCTTTGGGGAATTTTCCTTGGTTTTGGGGGAATTCTGAGGGAATGTCTTTCCACATTTGGGGCACCTGGCGTCAGGCAGCAACTCCTGGCTGTGAATTGAGAGGATTTTCCCCATAAAAATTCCCAGAAAACAGACGGGAACTTCTCTTTCCTTCATCATCCTCAGAGCAGAGGAAGATTTTCCCTGTGCAGCGCCGGGTCTGGCAGAGTTTGCTGTAAATACTGCGCCTATTCCGTGGAAAACTCAAAGCTTTCCCCAGAGTTTTCCTTTTTTCCTGCCACTTTTTGCAGGCTTGGAATTCCCTTTAAAAGCCACAACACCCAGGACTTTTCGTTGATGTTTCCCTTTCTATATCCTGAAAACGAAACAACAAAAAAAAACCCCACTTTTGCGTATTGCTGATGTGACAGGTGGGTGGAACATTTTTATTTTTTGGGGCATTGTTCGCCTGCCCAGGGGGAAAAGTGGGAGGAAAAATAAGAAAAAATTCAATTTTCAGGTGGAGAAGCAGGGAGTGCCCTGTCTTCCTGTTGGCTCCTGTCAGAGGCAAAAAATGCTTCAAAATTCAGAAATCAGCAGCTGCAGGAGGAAATTCCTGCGCCTAAAATGTGCAATATCGACCTTTTTATTTTCGTTTTATTTTTATTTTTTTGAAACGCAGGAGCGAAGTGATTCTTTTTTGATTATTTTTTGGAAATGCGGTCGATTGCCGAGGTCCGGAAATTATTTTTTTATTTCGCTTTGCGTGTTCGGAGCCCGCTCTGGGAAATTCCTGGAGCTGTTTTGTAAATAAAGAGCAGCACTTTGCTTGGGTCGGGTCGGCCAATTTGATGCCTACCAAATAATCCTTGGATTTTTTAACGTTTGAATTGAAAATCCATCAACGAGCACTGAAAAATTGCAATTTAATTGCTTCCCTTTCCCCCCCTTTATTCCCTTTTGTGGAGAAAAGCCAAGTTTAGCTGTTGTAAAATTTGTGCACTTCGTTGTTTTTTATAGCTTTGGACTATAGAGGGTTAAGCCCCCCCCAAAAAAATAAAATATTTGTGGGTTCCTCTCCAAGAAATTTCCACAGAAATCCAGATTTTCCTGTGGAAATGAAGCTTGGATGGGAAAAATTTCCACCAGGTAAAGCAGGAAAAATAAAAAAAAATGAGGCAGGAAAAAATAAAATGAGGCAGGAAAAATAAAATGAGGCAGGAAAAAATAAAATGAGGCAGGAAAAATAAAAATGAGGCAGGAAAAATAAAAATGAGGCAGGAAAAAATAAAATGAGGCAGGAAAAATACAAAAATGAGGCAGGAAAAATAAAAATGAGGCAGGAAAAATAAAATGAGGCAGGAAAAAATAAAAATGAGGCAGGAAAAATAAAATGAGGCAGGAAAAATAAAATGAGGCAGGAATAAATAAAAATGAGGAAAAATAAAAATAAGGCAGGAAAAAATAAAAATAAGGCAGGAAAAATAAAAATGAGGAAAAATAAAAATAAGGCAGGAAAAAATAAAATGAGGCAGGAAAAATAAAATGAGGCAGGAAAAATAAAATGAGGCAGGAAAAATAAAAATGAGGCAGGAAAAAATAAAATGAGGCAGGAAAAATAAAAATGAGGCAGGAAAAAATAAAATGAGGCAGGAAAAATAAAAATAAGGCAGGAAAAAATAAAATGAGGCAGGAATAAATAAAAATGAGGAAAAATAAAAATAAGGCAGGAAAAAATAAAATGAGGCAGGAAAAATAAAATGAGGCAGGAAAAAATAAAAATAAGGCAGGAAAAATAAAAATGAGGAAAAATAAAAATAAGGCAGGAAAAATAAAAATAAGGCAGGAAAAATAAAAAAATGAGGCAGGAAAAAATAAAAATGAGGCAGAAAAATGAAAAATGAATGTGGACAGGGTGGTGGAAAAGGGAGAGGAGCAGCTTTTGCTGCAATTTTCAGGTCACTGAATTGAAATATTTCCTTGCCAGCTTTTCCTGGGTCACATTCCTGACAGAGCCACCCTCACTCACAATTTCTTTTTTTCATTTTTAGGGGTTTAGAGTAGGTTCTGGTTTAGTTCTGTACCGTGGTGATTGAAAAAATAACCAAAAAAACACCCCAAAAAATTTGAAAAATTGCAACATTACAGAAGCTTTTTATTGTTAGGTTCCTGTTGCGGAGCAGCTTTGGTTCTGTGGAAATATTCGGTGATTAAAATCCGATTAATTAAAATGTTT